CAAAAAGGTTCTTTTCCCTCTCCGTCCCCGGGAGACTGAGAATCAGAATAAAAGAAAGGCAAAGGTGGTCAGTTTCTCAGGCAATCTTTTGGTCACCCCTTTGGAGTTCAGCTTATCTGCAGGCTCTAGTGTCCTTGACTAGGGTTAGGGTCTGCCTCCAGCCCCTCTTTCTGGTTACCCCCCACTTTATACCTGGTCCATGAAGTCTCAGGGGAAGAAGAGTCTGCAAATGTCTTCCTCTTTGCTGCTCTATCCTTGTAGGCCACTTTCTCCAAGGCCTCTGCCCTAGTCACATCCCCTTCCTGTGGCAGACTTTCCCTTTTTAAGCTTCCTCCTTCCGGGCACAGCAAGTCTTACAGGTGTGTCTGGATAGTGCTGGCTGAGCCCATAGAGTGTGGGTGCGCACCCTCACACATGTCCTGTGGAGTATCTGTTCTGTGATAGACAGAAAGCTTCAGTTCAAGGCTGTCTCTCTGGCTGCTTTTGTCAGGCAGCTGTGTTTCTTAAAAGGGTATATATGAACATGAGTACGGTGACTAAATGCGCTTCAAAAATACAGTTAAAACTCACATATGTATATAAAGCAAAGCAGCAACTGCCAGTCTCAGGGCCCTGGGACCTTCCATTCTAAGCGTGTCACAAGTTTCAAATAGTCTGGTTCTGACTGATATCATTGCCATGTATATGATTTGTGTGTCTGCTTTAATTTGCCATTTCCCCCCACAGGGCAACTACCACAGCACCATTAGTATGTCACATAACACCATACTCAAACCTGATGGTTGTGAAGAACCACTGGCTATTGACAGTCGAAAGAGTGGTGGGACTGTGGGACAAAGTACAGACAGAAAGCCTGCAAATGTCAGGGACAGTGCGGTCTTGAGAAGGAATAAAATGAATAAAGACACTGGGCCAAAAGGGCATAGAGCAGAGAGATACAGAAATACAGGCACCTCTGGGCCACACACTATTATTTGGTCAACACCAAGAACGTGCTTGGTGCTGCACAGCACATAGAAAGAAAGAGTGCCTGCCCCAAGGAACATACAGTCCAAGGCCTCAATCCTGCTAACGCTTACGCCTGTGCTTAACTTTAAGCATGTGAAGAGCCAAGTGATGTCTCATATGCTTAAAGTTAACTCTTTCTAGTGGACAGCAGGAAGACTGGCATCCTCAGAGACAGTTGGTAGTTCCAACTAAATACCGGGCCAAGCTCTTGAGCTTAGCCCATGATCACCCTAGTGGCCATGCTGGGGTGAACAGGACCAAAGACCGTTTGGGGGGGTCATTCCACTGGGAGGGAATGGGCAAGGATGTTTCTACCTATGTCCAGTCTTGTGAGGTGTGCCAAAGAGTGGGAAAACCCCAAGACCAGGTCAAAGCCCCTCTCCAGCCACTCCCCATCATTGAAGTTCCATTTCAGCGAGTAGCTGTGGATATTCTGGGTCCTTTTCCGAAAAAGACACCCAGAGGAAAGCAGTACATACTGACTTTCATGGATTTTGCCACCCGATGGCCGGAAGCAGTAGCTCTAAGCAACACCAGGGCTAAAAGTGTGTGCCAGGCACTAGCAGACATTTTTGCCAGGGTAGGTTGGCCCTCCGACATCCTCACAGATGCAGGGACTAATTTCCTGGCAGGAACTATGAAAAACCTTTGGGAAGCTCATGGGGTAAATCACTTGGTTGCCACTCCTTACCATCATCAAACAAATGGCATGGTGGAGAAGTTTAATGGAACTTTGGGGGCCATGATACGTAAATTCGTAAATGAGCACTCCAATGATTGGGACCTAGTGTTGCAGCAGTTGCTCTTTGCCTACAGAGCTGTACCACATCCCAGTTTAGGGTTTTCCCCATTTGAACTTGTATATGGCCGTGAGGTTAAGGGGCCATTGCAGTTGGTGAAGCAGCAATGGGAGGGATTTACACCTTCTCCAGGAACTAACATTCTGGACTTTGTAACCAACCTACAAAACACCCTCCGAACCTCTTTAGCCCTTGCTAGAGAAAACTTACAGGATGCTCAAAAAGAGCAAAAAGCCTGGTATGATAAACATGCCAGAGAGCGTTCCTTCAAAGTAGGAGACCAGGTCATGGTCTTAAAGGCGCTCCAGGCCCATAAAATGGAAGCATCGTGGGAAGGGCCATTCACGGTCCAGGAGCGCCTGGGAGCTGTTAATTATCTCATAGCATTCCCCACCTCCAACCGAAAGCCTAAGGTGTACCATATTAATTCTCTAAAGCCCTTTTATTCCAGAGAATTAAAGGTTTGTCAGTTTACAGCCCATGGAGGAGACGATGCTGAGTGGCCCGAAGGTGTCTACTACGAAGGGAAATGTGGTGGTGGTGTGGAAGAGGTGAACCTCTCCATGACCCTTGGGCGTATGCAGCGACAGCAGATCCAGGAGCTGTGCACTAGCTACGAGCCAACGTTCTCAGCCACCCCAGGACTGACTGAACGGGCATACCACTCCATTGACACAGGTAATGCTCACCCAATTAGGGTCCAACCTTACCGGGTGTCTCCTCAAGCTAAAACTGCTATAGAACGGGAGATCCAGGATATGTTACAGATGGGTGTAATCCGCCCCTCTGAAAGTGCATGGGCATCTCCAGTGGTTCTAGTTCCCAAACCAGATGGGGAAATATGTTTTTGCGTGGACTACCGTAAGCTAAATGCTGTAACTTGCCCAGACAACTATCCAATGCCACGCACAGATGAACTATTAGAGAAACTGGGATGGGCCCAGTTCATCTCTACCTTGGACTTAACCAAGGGGTACTGGCAGGTACCGCTAGATGAATCTGCCAAGGAAAGGTCAGCCTTCATCACACATCTCGGGCTGTATGAATTTAATGTACTCCCTTTCGGGCTGCGAAATGCACCCGCCACTTTCCAAAGACTTGTAGATGGTCTCCTAGCGGGATTAGGAGAATATGCAGTCGCCTACCTTGACGATGTGGCCATATTTTCGGATTCCTGGGCAGACCACCTGGAACATCTACAAAAAGTCCTTGAGCGCATAAGGGAGGCAGGACTAACTGTTAAGGCTAAGAAGTGTCAAATAGGCCTAAACAGAGTGACTTACCTTGGACACCAGGTGGGTCAAGGAACTATCAGCCCCCTACAGGCCAAAGTGGATGCTATCCAAAAGTGGCCTGTCCCAAAGTCAAAGAAACAGGTTCAATCCTTCTTAGGCTTGGCCGGTTATTACAGACAATTTGTACCGCACTACAGCCAAATCGCTGCCCCACTGACAGACCTAACCAAAAAGAAACAGCCAAATGCTGTTCAGTGGACCGGAAAGTGTCAGAAGGCCTTTAACAAGCTTAAAGCGACACTCATGTCTGACCCTGTACTAAGGGCCCCAGACTTTGACAAACCGTTCCTAGTAACCACAGATGCGTCCGAGCGTGGTGTGGGAGCAGTTTTAATGCAGAAAGGACCTGATCTAGAATTCCACCCTGTAGTGTTTCTCAGCAAAAAACTGTCTGAGAGGGAAAGCAACTGGTCAGTCACTGAAAAAGAATGTTATGCCATTGTCTACGCTCTGGAAAAGCTACGCCCATATGTTTGGGGACGGCGTTTCCACCTGCAAACCGACCATGCTGCACTGAAGTGGCTTCACACCGTCAAGGAAACTAATAAAAAACTTCTTCGGCGGAGTTTAGCTCTCCAAGATTTTGATTTCGACATCCAGCACATCTCAGGAGCTTCTAACAAAGTGGCTGATGCACTCTCCCGTGAAAGTTTCCCAGAATCAACTGGTTAAAATCGTCCTTGAGATGTGGAAAATATTGTTAGTCTTTATGTACTTGGTAGTATATTTAGAGATGCATGTGTCTTATTAACTCTGTTTTTCCTAGAGCTCCAGGAAGAAATCCCAGCCAGTGTTTCACCCTAGCTGAGATTTGGGGGGCGTGTCATAAATATAAAGGGAAGGGTAAACCCCTTTGAAATCCCTCCTGGCCAGGGGAAAGCTCCTCTCACCTGTAAAGGGTTAAGAAGCTAAAGGTAACCTCGCTGGCACCTGACCAAAATGACCAATGAGGAGACAAGATACTTTCAAAAGCTGGGAGGAGGGAGATAAAGTGCCAGTTCCTGTGAATAAAGAAAATCTGAGCTTTTTATTTTTTTTTTGGCTAAGAATTTTTTAGGCCTCTTGATTGTGGAGAAAAGCTTGAAAAAGTGAAACCTAAAGGCTCGAAAACCAGAAGGCAATTCAAAAGAACCTCAGACTTTTTTTTTTTTAAATAATCTCATGATTTTTGAACACTTGGTGTTGGCAGCACTGAATTAAGCAAGTGCATAAGTGTTTGCAGGGCTTAACAGAAGACGAGGTACGCTAGGAAATTCGGAGGTAAACGTGATTTTTTTTAAACTAAGCACATCTTGTGCTTAAATACTAATCCCAATATTATGTTTATTCACCACACAAAATCTTGCTGCACCATTTTTCTATATGCACAGGAGACTGACAGGAGAACCATGAGAACAAAGTATTATCATCTTAAGAAAACATTTTAAAATTCTGTATTCATTTTTTTTATTGACAGAGTTTTTATACAAAGAGAGAAAATGAGACCAGGCTCTGGAAACAGAGAGAGAAAGCAAGTGGGGGCAATGAAGGCAGCTGGAGAGACACAGAACTGCTGCAGCAGTCAGAAAACATGTCCAGAGTCTGAGGTCAATCAACAAGGTGTAAATCCACAATAACTCCAATGGAGATACACAGACAGTGGTAACAGATCAGAATATGGACTTAGAAGAAAAGGCACAATGAGCATTTTAAACCATAAAAAAGGAACATAAAATATTCATTAGACAGTTTCTGGTAAAAATATTTTACCTCGGATTTAGGAAGCTATTCTGTATGGAGTCCAATATTAAACCATAAGTACAATCAATTGGACACGACAGTAACAATTGCTATCTCCTGCACGTCACCAACTCTCCTTATTTTATTGCAATTGATAAACATGATACTTGGCACTAACCTTAAAGCCCTTGCTTCCTGAGTCATGTGAATATCCAAGACCCTTAGCTGTCATGGTTGCAGAAAAGAGCTTGACAACGTGACTAAAGTGTAACCTAAGGACTAAAAAAACGGAAGGTAAAGATAGAGAATCCAATTTTTTTTTTAAATCTCATGATTTTTAAGCCAATCTAATAATTGGGGTTTGACCCATGATTTTTAAATGTCTGCGGTTGGCAATACTGCTCCTATTATGCAAGCACATAGGGTTCTGAAGCTCAATAAAAATCTGTCTAATCATACCAGTGACTACAGAGTACAATTAGGACAACAGCCCTGCGCTAGCCCTACCTTAGCAGTTTGTCTGGGGAGATGTTGCCTGTAGTGAATATTGTTTAATTCATTTTGGACAAGGTACCTAATGGCCTTCGGGCACAGAGCACTAGGGTAACTGTGTGAGCTGATTCCTGCTGCCCATGCAAAGCCCCTCTGAAGTCCATGGGACTCCACATGGATGCAGGATTCTGCAAAGACAGAGCTCATTGGAGGATCGATGCCTAAAATATTAAAAAGTTGAGTTATCAAAGTAACAGATAATGAAGTTCTAATTACAGCCCAGGAAAAGTGACAACAATAAATTCCGTTATGTACTGGCTTAATGGTTTGCAGGAGTAGAGTCTACATGTGTACAGGATCAAGCTCCTAACGATTACCGCTGGTTGAATAGCAGTGAAAATATTGTCCGATGTTGACAAATGGTATTTCTCAAGTCAGTTATTCATATTAAATCAGCTATAAAGATGACCAAATACTTAAAAAAGTGATTTGTCAAATAACAACAAATACCAGCATCAAGTCATATATTCCAGCAGCTGACTAAGATTTCAATTCTGCAAACTTAACTTTAAGCACACAAGTAACACCTAATAGGGGGCCTAGTGGTGATGTTACACAGACCAAAGAAAAACATCATTCAACTAGAAAAGGAGTACTTGTGGCACCTTAGAGACTAACCAATTTATTTGAGCATGAGCTTTCGTGAGCTACAGCTCACTTCATCGGATGCATGCCGTGGAAACTGCAGCAGACTTTATTTATACACAGAGAATATGAAAAAATAGCAGGACAGTGGGGTGGGAGGAGGTATTTTTTCATATTCTCTGTGTATAAATAAAGTCTGCTGCAGTTTCCACGGCATGCATCCGATGAAGTGAGCTGTAGCTCACGAAAGCTCATGCTCAAATAAATTGGTTAGTCTCTAAGGTGCCACAAGTACTCCTTTTCTTTTTGCGAATACAGACTAACACGGCTGTTACTCTGAAACCTATCATTCAACTAGTAGATCCCAGGCTGGGTTCTTCACACTAACCGAAGAAACAACTTTTCATTCATAAATTGAATACATTTCACCTAGAAATTGTTGACATTAACTATAGAAGCCCAAAATTCCTTTTTTCAACAGTCACTTTTCAGAATGAGTTGACTAACTTATAAGGGAAAGCTTTATTAGTGACACCACACAGGTGAAAGACAGTACTTATATCACCATGGGAAATAATGATGCAGAGAATCTTTTCCCATGGGTAAGCCTATTTCAAAGAAGCAACACCTAAATGCTTTACTATTCAGCCTAAATAACCTGCTGGGTTACCTCTGACTTCCTTTTTATCACCCCACAGCTATTGGCAGTAGACCCTGGGCATAACACAGGTGGTTACTTACCACGGCTTCTTGTTAGCCCCAATAAAAGGGGAGAGCAGCCAGCCTCCCTCCCCCTAGGGAAATCAAAGACCCAGCTGTGTACTAGCACAGCAATAGGGCATATACTGAGGGAACGTTACATCAGGTAAGAGGATTAATAAATTCTACTGTATGGGCTTATTTTAGAAAAATAATTTATTAAAAGTTGGGGTTACTTTCATGTCCCCATAACCAACCACCAATGGGCGATTTAAAAACTCATCCTCCTAAGCCTGATTGAAGAGTCCCTTAATTTAAGAGATCCTCAAAGTTAAAATACAGTTGAAATAAAACATTTGAATTGGATGGGCCCAAATACAGTGTAGTCTACTGGGAACTCTTTCCCCAGCTGTAGACAACACAGGCAGCCTAAAGTCACTTTTGGTGGCACATCCACTGTCCTTGATCACACTTTGCTTGCTCCTGCTTCTTAACAAAACCAGCATCCTTTTTTCTGCTCTGCTCTTGTATAGCCACTATCATTGCTAGACAGTAGACACCAGAGCAGATACAATCAATTGAGCTGCCTATGGGGAGATGATTTGGGTGGTGCTGATCATGCAAACATTTATGCATGAGTGTGGGACTACGCACGTGTACTAATCAATTCAGTAGGGTTGCTCATGTGGATAGTTACTTGCATGAATATTTGCATACAAGATTAGGACCTTGTAGCTTCCTGTATATTACTTGGACCTTCCGTGCCAGGACCTCATACCAGAAAAGCTAATATGGGAAACTCCCTCTAACCAAGCCCCTTGTAGCTGGGCTGGGCTTGTAAACTATGAAGGTTGTTCTGTGTGTATTACAATTACTTTCTCTGCTGAATCACTATTTTTGGCTCCTATCCCTAACAGACCATGTTCAACCATGTATTATCTACATGCTAACAGTCACCACACAATAGCGTATTAAGTAATTGATTTGTGGATTATTTAATTAATTTTACACAATATCCAATTAACAACTAACAATATACACCACTGAATGCTATCTGACAAGTGTACTGAACAGATTGTGTGTTGTATTGAATATCGCATTGCATGTTGCAGCACTATCAGCTTGATCCAAATCCCAGATTTGGAGGGTTTTTTTTTTTTAAAAAAAAAGTCTTCATGCAATTTTAAATTTCAGCCAATAATATTGTAATTTAAACACTCCCCTCCCCCACTACAGCCTAAATAATATTATCATTAGAAAATGCAAATGTACAAGGGAAAGTAGAGCAAGATTAGATTTGAAAAGTTCCTTGTTCTAAGAATTTCAGATGCTAAGGCAGAAGTAAAGATATGTCTATCTTTAATAAATTGTTATTTCTAATATTTTTTATTAATAAAAGTTAAATTGCTTCCTCTGGCTTTCCCAGGGCATCCTATCTTCTCTGAGTCTATCTTTTAGGCCTCAATCCAGTGAGTTGCTCCACATGGGTTCTCTTTACCATTGACTTAAATGCCTTTGACCCCAATCCTGCACAAATTCACACGCATGTTTAACTGTATGAATTATGCCCTAACACTGCCATGAGTTTTGTGTGTGGTGGATCTTCACTGTAATCAACATGCCTGTGTGTGCGCACAGGTCTTCCGTGCAGAACTCGCTGCAGGTAAGGGTGTAAGACTCATTGTAGTGAAGTTAAACGTGTGTAAGTGTTTACAGAATTGGGACCTACATGTGTAAAAAGTAAACGTGTAAATGTTCATGGGATCAGAGCCTTAGGCCACAATCTTACAACTTATTACGTATAGGAGAACCTTTGTACTCATGTGTAGACCCACTGAAGTCAATGCGAGTCCACACAGGCACAGCAGTTCACCTGTCCAGAACAAATTGCAGGTTCAGAGCATTGCCCTGTAAACTCATTAGGAGACAACTGTCTTTGTTGATATCTGTACAGTACCGAGAATGATGTTTTACTTAACGATTAATTGATAATGATTATGGCTGTATCCCTTTCATGATGCATTAAGAGGTAATTGTCCCTTGTATTGTAGATCTTTTATATTGACTAAATAGCATTCATTATTTATTGCTGTTTTTAAAGTAATTTTTGAGGAATAAAATTATTTTAATTTGCCTAAGTAGCAGGCTTTATTTTACTGTTGCTGTAAAAAATGAAGGATAAAATCAAAGAAAATTTTCCAGCCCTTTAATTTAGTAAAATTCTAATTATGACATTTTTCAGTTGCATCTCCAAAATTTTGTGTATGATTACCAATCAGTTTTGGGTGTCTATCTTACTTGAGAGACTCCACTTTGCATCTTACGTAATATTTCATCATCCACAAATCTCTGCTGGAGGTTTAAAAAACTGAGTAGCTAATATCCCATTTAACGTTAGCTTGTATACGTGAATACACAATATCTGTTCAGTAACAATAACTCCTTTTCAAAGATTCTCTTGCAAATGCGTCTCAAAATCACATTTCCAGATTAAGGCCCCAGTTCAGCAGTCAGCTCTGTGGGAGCTAGGTCCTTGCACCTACAAACATGCAGATATAATTGCAGAATTGGAGCCTTAATTTTGTAACTTCTTAGGATACTACCAGGTACTTTAGGGTCAAGATTTAATTCTTGATTTTTTTTCCCCACAAAAATTAATTAACAGAAATGTTTTTGTTTGGTTCAGACTTCAATGAAAACTGTTTGCCCCCGACCCTGCAAGCTGTTCCACATGCATGGACCTTTGGGCCACCTGAAGTCCCATTGACTTCAGTGGGACTCTGTGCAGGCGCAGAGATCTGCTCACCTGGATCAGCTTGTAGGATCATGGCATGTTTGGATTTAAACCTTATATGGCAGTGTCTATAATATAAACATTGCAGTTGCTGTGCAAGTGCAGGAGAACCAGCAAGCAAAAATGACTAATCTGCTTTTATTATCCAAGCTGAGTGAAATGCAAAGCCTAAACAAACATAAATGGTGAAAAATAAGACCTCGATTCTGCAATAAGCTCAATGGGGCTATGTCAGGGCATGAGAGTCTCCCCATCCATTCATAGCTTCATGGAATTTAAATCCAGATGGGACAATTATGATAACCTAATCTGATCTCCATTTTATACAGACCATAACATTTCACCAAGTGATTCCTTCATCAAGCCCATAACTCCTGGTTGTGCTAGAGCACATCTTTTAGAAAAACATCCAGTCCTGACATGTGGAACTTATTGTGGGATAGGGACCTAATTTAAATTCCTTCTGTTTTAAGACTCAGAGACCAACATGGTTCAATGGTTCATGCCAGAGATCAGGAAATTCTGAATTGTACTTCTGGCTTTCCCACTAGATTCATGGTTGAAGTGTCCAACTCAACTAGAAGTTATAGTCTTGAGGCAGGAATTATTGGGTGAAATTCTATAGCCTGTGATACTCAGGATATCAGACAAGATTATAATAATGGTCCCTTCTGGTCTTAGATTCTGACATGACATTGAATCTCTCTGCCTCAACTTCCCTGTTTGTAAAATTAGAATAATACATGCCTCTATGGTGTGCTGAGGATTAATGTTGAACATGATATGCCATATCATGCCATATAAGTACGAAGTATATTTTTATTAATAAGAAGCTAAGATGCTAACATTGGTAAAGAAACATCCTTGATACAAATATTAGAGAGACAAGGTGGGCGAGGTAATATCTTTCATTGGTGCAACTTCTGTTGGTGGGAGACACAAGCTCTCAAGCTTACATAGAGCTCTGAAAGCTGGTCTCTCTCACCACCTTGTCTCGATGATATCCTGGGACCAACATGGCTACAACAAGACTTGACAAAAATATGATTTTTAACCTGAGAGTGTGTCCGCACGGGAGGACTACCATGTCCACTGACTAGTAAGTCAACCCACATGAGTGACTTGTTGTATCATAGTCTTAAAATGCACCCGACTACCTTTTCCTGTGAACTGGGGGCAAGCAGTGCAATGGCTACTAGAGAGGAGGGAAATCATGTAAAAGTACCAAAGCTGTGGATGTAGGTAAATAATGTGCTGTAACATGTTAGCAAATGATTATGGCAAAATTCTCAGAAAATCTATCGAAGACAAAAACACAGCCGTTGGGCTGGGGAAATTACTGAATGTTTATATCCATAGAACAGGTACTTTAGGAGGGAGAGGGAAATGCTCCTAGTTCCCAAATGTAAAAAAAAAAAAAGAAAAGAAAAGAAAAGAAGGCTGCAAACTACTCATTCGGGAAGAAAAACCTGATCTTCAATAAAAGCCCCAAACCAACAAAACAGACATGTCTCCTTTAATAGTGAGCTTCCTGCTCCATGTTTGTTTCCACGACATGAAATTGCTTCTTTACCTTGCAGAGAAGGAGCAGCAGCTTGCATTTATGGCAGTTGCTTGCTTTGGGGCCTTGTCGCTGTTTCTCTCGCTCTCTGTATTTTCTGTTACTCTCTTAGTAGGAAGTAGATGAGTTACAGTTTCCGTTTGTGTTTCAGAGCAGGAGGAGGAGGGAGCGAGGAAGAAGCCTCTGAGCTCAGCCACCGCTAAAGAGGAAAAATACAGTATACGGGGGAGGGGAGAGCTATTACAAATATAATCCACTTTCAACTCCCAGAACTACATCATAAGGGGCTGTGAATCCCCCTCTCCCCCCCTTCCTCCAGGGCATCGGATCGGACACCTGGAGCAGAAGAGGAGCAGAAAACCGAATCAGCGACGGGGGAGACGCGTTCGTCCACGTCTAAACTCGAGGATTTACAGTTACTGAGGGAAGGAGGTTTCAGCTGGGTTGATCTTTTTCTTTTTTATTTTATTGCTTGGCTGGATTATTTCATTGGAAACGAAGAGTGGCTCCTTTTCGGGGTGGGGCCTGGATCTCGGTGGAGGACCCAGCCCGCCCGCTCTCTCCACCACCCCGGCAAGGCGATCGCTGTTGGAGGGAGAGGATTATTGCTAATTATAAATTGGCGTCTTTCTGCGGCCCCCCAAGCCCCGGGCGCGGGATGGAGGGCAGCCCCGTGGCCTGGGCAGCGGCAGGTTCCTGTCCCTGAGCCGAGGGGGCTGATCGCGGTGCATGGGAAGCGTTTCGTGGCCTGAAAGGGGGTGGCCCTGAGACACCCTCCTACCACCAGGAGCTCGCCGCCGCCGCCGGGACGTTCGCTGGTGCCCGCTGGGGTGTCCCCAGCCCCGGGGAGGATGTGAAGGCGGCGGCTGGGGCAGGAGAGCGCGCACCCCCCGATCCCACCCACCCCACGGAGGTGGTTTGGTGTCTCTGGTGCGTGGGGACCCGGAGGAGCGGAGCGGGGGGGGGGGTTTGTCTAACACCCTCCCCTGCCTCCCTCCCGCTCTCTCTCTATGCGGGGCGGGGGCTGCTCGGATCCTCGCTGCTGCCGCCGCCGCCGCCGCTGCTAGAGGGGGAGGCCGAAGATGGGGGATTTCTATGATCCGGAACATCCCACCCCTGAGTAAGTATTGAATTTCCCCACCCCCCCCTCAAGCCTGCTCAAGGGGGGGGCCCCACCCACCCCCCTCCCAAGCCTGCTCAAGGGGGGCCCCCACCCACCTGAATTGGCCTGCTCAAGGGGGGGGCGGGGGCTTACGTTCCCCCAGGACAGGCCTGCACATGGGTTACCCGCCGGGCCGGGCCTGCTCGTGGGTTCGCCCCCAGGGGACAGGCCGGCAGGCCGGCCGGCCGGCGGGGGGGGGAGCGGTTTAACCTCCGGCTGGAGGGAGGCAAAATGGTTCCCTGAGCGGGCTGGGGCCCCGCCGCCGGGCTGAGGGGCCTGGCGCGGGAAGGGCGGCGGCGGCGGCGCGGGCAGGTGCGCGCGGGGCGAGATTGGGGCTCGTGGGCCTGTCGGAGCCGGAGGGCGGGCGGGCTAGGCCGCGCATCCCCGGCCTCGAGTGAGAGCCCGGCCCGGGAAAGCAACGGCTGAGGCGGGGAGAGGGGCAGTGTGGGGGCGGGGAGGAGCCCACAGCCAAGGGCAGGCGCTGCCCCCCCCCACCCCCCCGGGGGTCTGCTTGTGGGGAGGGGGCCAGGGCGGGTCACTCTCCTTGTCAGCCCCCGAGTGTGGGCGGGAGGGGCTGGGGGTCACTCTCCCTGCCACCCGCCCAGGGGGAGTCTGTCTGTGGGGGGGGGGGTCACTCTCCCTGCCACCCGCCCAGGGGGAGTCTGTCTGTGGGGGGGGGTCACTCTCCCTGCCACCCGCCCAGGGGGAGTCTGTCTGTGGGGGGGGGGGTCACTCTCCCTGCCACCCGCCCAGGGGGAGTCTGTTTGTGGAGGGGGGGTCACTCCCCCTGCCACCCGCCCAGGGGGACTGTGGGGGAGGCAGAGCGGGTCCAACTCCCTGTCAGCCCCGGGAGTGTATGGTGGTGGTGGGGAATCATTCTCCCTGCCACCCCTCCAGGGGTCTATTTGTGGGGGAGGTCGTTTTCCCTGCCACCCCCCAGGAGTGTATGGGGGAGCAGGCTAGGGGTGGTCATTCTCCCTGCTACTTACAGCTCTCCCAAGGAGGCTCTTTCTCCACTTTTTTGTGTGTGGATAATTAAATGGCTCCTCTCCCTGCCTGCTGCTTTGTGAATCCTCCCCAGTTTCCTTATGGATGGGTAACTGGTTGGGATTCAGGCTCTGACCAGGTAGGTGAACATGGCATTCTCAGGGAAATACTGAAGTTGAACTAAAGTCATACCATGCCCCTGCCCCATTTTCTAGCTGAAGGGAAAAATGGTCAATGAGATACAAGCCTGAGGAGGGGACAGTCTAATGGCTGATGTTTGTTTGTTTTTCTTTCTGCCAGGGATTTTCACCAAAACATACACACACACCAATCAGCATGTCAGGGCTGCTGGTTTCATCGCCTCTTGGAGAAGGTGGTTCAGTAGCTAATAGTGCTTTTCATCTTCTTCCTCAACAGTCTAACAGTTAGCTACTGGTCCTGAATAATATTTTGTGTTTATAACATGCTTTGCATCCTGAAGGATCCCAGAGTGCTTCATAAAATTTATACATGCAGCATCACTGAAATGCAGTCACCTCTGGGATGGAAGGAGGCAGACAACTGGCACATAGCACTCTTCCAGTGCAATAGTTGGATGGGTGTGAAGGGTAAAAAGGAATATTTTGAACAGTGCAAACATTTTAAGCAACATGCTACAAGATCTCTAATGTTCAAGGAGAGCAGATGGGATTTATGTGTCACCCAAAATGAGGTTTTGCTGAATGATGCTTACATCTGATGCTTCTAAAATTAGTAAAATGCCAAGGATTTCAGTTTGAATTCAGGTTCAGTTTTACTAAGCCTAGGTCACAGAGTCTCTTATTTCTTCTAGCAAATGATGAATAGGTGTATGTAGAAGTGCTCATTCATTACAGATAATCCTAATTGTTGGTGTAATTTTTGGTATTCCAGGTCATTTCAGTATTAAAATAAGTAGCTCATATTAAACTCATACATGTTAAAAAAAAATCTATTTATCATCTTGCATAGTCACCAGTCACTTAGAACAATCTCCAAACATATTGTAAACCTGATTTATAAAAATTCATATTGGCTTTATTTAACAACTTTTAGTTACAAATATTTCTTTAATATTTCATCTCAACAGGGGTTTGTTACCTCTTAATAAATTTATTATGGGCTGAGATTTTGAAAAATCTTCAGCAGACAAAAGTTATATGTTAGAGAAGCCTTTTGAAGTGTGGTCATGTAAAGAATGCATAGAGAAGCTGTCTTCCCAATCACCCTCCTGTGTACTAGATCCTGGAACCTTGCTCTTATACATCTGATCATTGTTTCCCACTCCATTAAAGCAAGTGTTATATCTTATTCAGGCACTTGTGCTTCTGTAAAGCAAAAGGTTTATAAAGTAGATTTGTCATGGCATCTTCTTTAGAGGCAGGAATGCTTTGTCTTTAATAACCTCCTTCTCCTTTCTCAAAGGTCACATTTTTAAAAATGCAGTGCATAGCATGTTCCAGGAGCCAGTTGAGTATTTTCAAAGCACAGTTGGCTGTCCTGTTGGAAGACACAGGTTAAAAACAAACCATGATAGCTGCAGGGTATTTTATGCTGCTGTAGAAGATGGCTTCCTCCAAATATGGTACTCCTCCAGGGTACAAACTATCAGCATACAGCAGACTTATCACTGGCAGATTTCTTACACTGTTGCTCTAGAATTTCTGTTCTTCCCCCTTTGACTGGGAGATTAAATGAAATACTTGTTACTTATCCCTGTAGCTAATGCAATTAATGACCTGTCTGAACATTGTTGGATTTCTTGTACTGTTTAGGTTTAGTTGCTGTGAAAAGAAAGAGGAGATACATTTTCATATTTTGAAAAAGCAGGATTTGTAACTTTTAATGTCTGAACTGTATACATAAACAGTGGTGTTTTGGAGAGTGACAGTAATGGCTAGGTGACTTGAACACTTAACTGGAGACCAATAAATCAATAGACTTGTACCTAGTGCAGTGGTTTTTCTTAATGGGACTATTGCTGAGTGACTTTGGCAATAGATATATTAGACTGAAGGGTGCTGTTTAATCACATGGTTGGATGTTATATTTGTAAGTGCCAAGATATTGTACTTGGGTGTACAGTGATGATGCCACTGACTTGAGTTTTCTTGTAAGGAATTAAAGTCCATTTACATTTTCACCTGCTTATGTTTTATGGTACATGTTCCTCTCAACAGTAAAACTTAAAATTTTTGTGAAATTCACAGTATAATAAATCCAATTCATGTTGCCTTTGTGTGAAATAGAACTTGCAGTATATCTAGATAACTAGTCTTTCCTAATTTTTGTGTCTAGATTCAATGTCACATTCATTGTAAATCTGTCTGGTTTCCCCCTGTAAATTTGCGTAGTGTTGACTTTGATTTAGCAGTGATATTTGACAAATGAGTTATTTTTGTTTATTTTGAACTTGGATAGGCTGAAGTGGGAGGGAAATGTGATCTGTATGTGAGTAAAGTTACTAGTGAGTGTATAGGGCTGCTAGTGGTGCAATTAAATGCTGGAAAGACTATTTTCTTAGAGAAGAAATTCAGTTTATTTTTCAGTTCAGATTATGTATGTATTAAAATACCCAGTGAATTGAACATGCAAAAACATCTTAAATGTGCTAGATTAAAGCTCACACTTTTGAGGCACAAAATATTTGCTCAATGTGAGACAAATTCAGAGAAAATTTTTGTAGCTTACTTTAGATATTTGTAAACCATTTATTACACCCAGAAACTAGAATACACCACCAAGAATTGGCTGCAACAAAAAAGCAGTATGAATTAACACATTTGAATGGTATAAGGCTGAAATCTGCACTTGTTTCTTGTTTTGCTCTCTGCTGCAGGTTATAGCTTGGCTGTATCTTCTTCAACTTTACTGCCAAAGGCCTCTGACCTAGATGGGTGACACTGCCCATCCACGCATAAAGGTCTGCTTTA